TGCTTCCACCTGTATCACGAATGAAATGATAGAAAGTTTTTATATGGAAATGAGTATTATAAAAAAAAGTTTTAAATCAGATAGACTAGGTTTGGTATACTTCGAATAGAAAACGTCAGTCTTATTTAACTAATAGAACCGTGTACTTACAACGGATGATTTTATGCCATCATCATAATCTCTCTATCCTTATTTCACTTATGTAGTATCGGACCAGATTTTGTTCCTTCAAATCGATCATCTCAGCCCTTCTTGATCATGACACCTTTCACGCAATCCATCCATTTTCTAGGTCTAGCTCTGCCGATGTCCCCCACACTCATAACTTATCTCAACTTCTCACATGCGATTCTTTATGACATGCCCATACCATGCTAACCTTTTACTCCACAATTTCTCTACTCTACTGGTGTCACTTTCAAACTTCCTCTAAAATAATAAATGACATATAAGACGATTATATTAATTTAATGAAACATTTATTGACTTACTGACCTAATAAATGTATTGTGTAATATTTCATCGCGTTAAAGGTTTTTAAAATATCAAAAACCTTGTAAATTTTAATAATGTACAAAAGTATCAGTTGTGTAAGCTATTAGCGGAAAGGTCACGGCGGCCGGGGCAATGGTCACGGAGTCACGCAGTCTGCGACGGATCGCTTGTCTAAATATTGCTGAAACTATGGACAATATCTTTGAATAAGTTTCAGCAGTATTAGCTATCCAAGTACTTTTTGGAGTATGTATGAAGTTAAAAAGTTATGAATAAAAAATATTGCGTATACTTTCTACTACTATAATTAGGCTATCGTCAAAATTTTGGAAAATAAATTATTTGCAACTTTAATATGCAAAGACGGAAAGATGTATTGACTGAAGAGCAAAAACATGTATCTTCTATAGTTTAAATTTAAACAATGTAAACAACTTAACCTCAATCATAGTCGCTAGCAGCTAGGGTTGCAACCACTTCGAGTTTACTCGAAATGTACCTATTGGTTTGCCATCTATGTTGTCAGAATGGGAGGGCATAAAAGAATTCATGATTGTCTTTTGTTTTTTGTCGCCCGCCAAGGAGTCAAGGGTTGCCAAACCACTGGTCCTGTTTTGTTTTAACCAGCAGTCTTCATGTCTATATTTATCGAAAGTTAGCAACCTTAGTCGCAGCGCATGAGCGTTTCGCATTACGTATTCCGCGACTGTCCGCAGTTGCACCGCTTTACCGTCTTCCGTCTAGAAAGGACTTTGAACCTGCAAATTTACGCGGACCACATAACGAATGATAAAATAATACGTAATGAACGACGAAAGTTTACATTTACATTTGAAACTGTCGCCACGGAAAGGTACAGTTCAGTTACTGTACAATGTAAATTGTATAACGACCTCAAAACTGCACCCAATTTGAATATATCTACTTGAAGAAAGCACAATAGGTACTGTTTCTGAAACACTATTATCTTTAAAGTATGTTTATTTCCTTTCAACCTACATTTATAATTAAACTTGTTACATAAAAATGCATTGAATGCAAATTAATGCAAGAATTATAAAAAAACAGATTTAAAACAATGGCCAGTTTACGTAATGAAAGGGTTACGATCAAGTCAGAGACAATCTCATGGTAAGAGTGTGACCCACTAGCTATTGTTATGTACACACATAACTTTTAGTAGACAGTGCTACCAACTTTCAAAGAAAGTTTACACTTTAAATTCGGTTATACTTCAGCTATGATCTACTAAACAACCAAGATTTATTTAACTCTTGAGTTTGTCACAAACGGCATTGTTACGTAACAAACGGCACTAGGAAACATTCAGTTGAAAAGACTTTTTGCGCTTAGAATAACTATTAAACGTTTTTGCTGTTGTTAATTTAAACTAGCATCACATTTCAAATTGACAATAGAAGGAAAAACACAATTTGAATAACATTTAGTCGCTCTCAAGGCATCAACTAACAACTAATAAAAATTTAATAAAACCAACTATTTCTATATTTTTCTAGTTAAGTTTTTAATTATCCAACATTTATAGAGGACAATAAGGATACAAATAACTTAACTATGTTTGTTTGCTATATAACGAGTTGCTTGTTGCTAAGCTCCAATTGAACTTGATTAAAAGGTATAATTACATTGAAATTAAGGCGAGAGAGTAATTAGCCGTCAAGTATATCAAAACATAAATTTAATTTTAAACCGTAGTATTTTACAATCGACCAAAATCTTACCGCACATTAATATCCAAACGAAGTCAAACATGAATCAAATAAATAAATGGCTTATAAAAATGTCTAAATAAACCGTACATCGTCGATTAACGATCTTATTGGTCGAATTAATTTCATTTTTGTTATTACGTTTGGCAGAAGAATTTTTTTGTACCAATTTACAAAAGTATGACAAATTTTCAAAACGCGATACGTGTTCAAAAGAAATTCTGTACGGACACTTTTAAACTACGTATATCCTAGGATATACCAAAGGCATAACACAATAAAGTAATAAAAAAGATAAAAGGAAAATATTTTTAGGTTTCTTTGAAAACGAGTTATGCAAAAATTATAGTGCGACATTTCTAAATTTCGAAACATCGTCCCTAAATTGCAGTTTTATATAATCAAGACATTTCAAAGTTATAAACTTCACTATCAATAGTTTTATGTAATGTCATAAAAATTAAAACCTAAATATCTAAATATATTCATAAAAGAGAAAGGAGAACATACTAGAATTTTAACACAGTCTAATCTTTCACGTAATAAGAAAAATTACACTCGATAACAGATTGTGTTAAAAAAATACAAGTGTTTCATAGAATTATTTCTCATAAGCATACATCTAACTAGTGTGTAGTATTTTTTAAAAAGTTAGTTTTCGATATATCCGAAAGTTGATCCGGGTTTGGACCCATCATGTTGGCATTTACAGATTACTAACGACCGGTATAACCTACCTTCATTTAATATTCCAAAAATATCAAAACCCTTTACGACCCAGATTTAAAGTTTCCAATATAATTCAGGTAAACTGAGGGTCGGATTTCGAAGGTATATAAAACAACTGCGGTCTTTCCTAATATAATCCGAGGATATTCAATACTCTAAAATATCGGCTTTATTAGAATAGTCGCTGAAAATATAAATTATAAAAAAGCAAAATAATGTAATAATAAAATAATCTTGAGGAAACCGAATAAATTCTGTAGTATCAGAATATTTAAATCAATCAACACAATAGACGATGAACTTTGACATATCAAAAGAAATTGCCAGTTCATTGAACCAAGAAAAATAGAGAACGAGGACGACTAATGAAAATGTATGAAATCAGTTCGCTTGGTAGATTTACTTAATTTTGCTGGAGATTTATTCATCATTTCTATTCTAATTAATATTAGCCGCAACTTCTTTCAGAAGGTGATAAAAGAATGGTCTAAGTTACTGGGCTCAAAAAGTGTCAAACTCTTTACTAGAGCGTGGGCACACCTTTGACTAAAAAATTGTGCGATTGTCGATTGTTTCGCAGCCAATTCAACTGTTTAGATGCACAACTAAAAATCGAGTAGTAGTGTGTGAGTTGTGCACCTCAAGGCAAAGCGAGACTAAACAGTTGTCCGATAGTTTAGTCAAAACGTACGTTCTTAGTGTAAACAACTTATTTGATTGTATGACCTTGTTAATGCTAAGAGCTGCTATAAATTATGTCTTTATTAGTACAAGGTCGTTTTTAAATATATTATTGCAAACTTTATAAAACCGTTCAAGGAAAATTGTCTCTACTGAACACGTAAACACTATTTGATATGTTACGTCACAGATGGTGTCGTAACAGATTAACAAATGTATTTTTTTTAAATCATTTGTTATTTTTTTTGCATGATCTTATTTTTATCATTTGGAAAATCCTCTTAGCGACTCTTAATTCCTAACAACATAGCAGAATGTTAATACTACACAAAACTTTTTAATCCTACAACGGAAAAATTCTAAAGCTGTTCAAATACTTTACATAATGTATTAAAATTTACTCTTTCGCAAATTTGTTTGTATTGGAACATCAACAACCGCACAATTTAGCATGACTATAGTTAAATGAACAAAAACCAACTTCCGTCTCCAAAAACCTTGACTGTTGTTCCGTACTTCCGATAGTTTACATTTTACAAGAACAAAATATTTTTGTATTTATTCATTGATGCTTAAATTTTGTTATAGTAAAAACATCGCGATTACTATACAATCGTGAAAAATAATACGATTTTCTACTAAAATAGCAACAACAGATACAATATGTTTAATAAAGATGAAAATTAAGAGGATTTAATATTCTTTACGTTCTTTAGATATCCTAAGGCCAATGCAGTCTCAAGGATGGGCGACTCAGCGTCTTTTAGTGATTCAAGTCACATATAACCTTTTCACACCAGAAGGGGTTTTTTTTAATTTAAAAAAAGTAGTGAACGATGATTGATTTATAATCATCGTTTAAAATTTCTTTAAAAGTAACATTTCATGCAATTTCAATAGAAAGTAATAACACGTATGAATTTAAATGGATGTAACATAGATTATTATTATCAGCATATTGATAAGTTTAACATGAGTAGAACCCTGAGAAAAGTAAAAGCGGATTCTGACAAAGATACAGTTATTACATGAAAAAAAAAACAAATAAAAGTTTACGAAACAATGAGACAAAGTAGCAGGATTTTTGGTATTAAGAATTCTATGTAATTTTTTTGTACAGTGAAACTCACACATTCAAAATTATTATAACTGGCTAGATACATTGTCTCAACAAATAAAAAAAACAATAGAGGTTTACACAATTTTCAAGAGCCGTAATTTCTTTTAAAGACTTTTCTCCTAGACGTAACCTTCATTTGAATATTACATTCAAGGTAGTTACGAGGATTAAGTAAATGATTCATGTACTACGGAGATAAATTTCATTATTATGAATTTCTTATCAGAGTAATATGAGATTGTTACCTACTAAAGGTATCTATGCTTCAGTCAATAAATGATTATAATTAGGTAAACAATTATGCAAACCAATGATAAAAAACAGTCAACAGCCGTGACGATCTCCGCGGTAAAAACACTCGAGATCCTTCGCTTTTTGCAACACTAGCACTTAACCTTGGCGTGTCCCAAGTGTTCAAACACAGAATGTTTGTTTTTTTCACTTTTCTCACAAAACCACCGAAGACTTTTATCGTGTTATATTGAATTGTTTTATTTAAATCGAGAGTATTCGAAACACGACGCGTGCGGCCTGACCGGACGGCCGTGAGCGACTGGCACGACGCATGCGTAATCAGCGAAGCATCGCTTTAGCGAAAAAGACACTCCCGCACATGGTAGCGCTTGATGATTTTGTATGGGCTACATGATTGTATGTAAAGCGCTGTTCTGCTGCTGGTGGAATAGAAAGGCTTTCTACTGGTCAGTTTCCCTAGTCATTAGATTCATGCTGGGGAAAAGTTGACGTAGAAAGAATGTCAGTAAGCTATCAATTATGTATATTTTAATTATAATTTTTGTTGCATTATTTTACGAAGCCAAATAGATTTTCCTGTTATTAATCTGCGAAACCTTACAATTAAATCGCCATCTGGCGTGCGGATCACGTCCATATGCCTCAAGCCGTGCGTCAGTCTGAACAAACAGCCTGAAACACCTGTTGAATGGTCACAATAGGAGTGATTCAAGGTGATTTACTTTGCGAAGGTCAATGGCATTGCGGACGAAGTAATGAAGATACTTAAAATCGCTTTAAAGTTGTAATGATACTCATCAACAGAGACATGAATTCGTAAATTGTCACGGCTTGTGACTTAAGTATTTTGTAAGAAAAATTTCAACAATAAGGAGTGTTTTGACATAGTATTTAGTAAGGGTCAGATCATTGTGTTTTCCGCAAGACCTAGCTTAACACGGTCTTGAAACATTCCTATGATTATATTAACAACGTACAAAATAACTGCAAAATACCACTATAATTCTCAATAACCATTGTTGGTTTTAGATAAAACAATATACCAACAACCTTAAACAACGGTAAGAATAATTTATTAATATCAACAAGAACCGTATAGACACGCCTTCCAGATACTTCGAGTTGCAAAAGCAAATGTACAGTGCTATCCAAACTTTATAGAAGCTTGCAAATGCGAATGAAACTTACATAACAATATTTTACTTATGACGGGACGTACGATTCTGGGCACATTCGTAAGTGCATGCTCCCTTGATGCAGAAATCTGGCATCCACCTGTAAAAATCATAGACATGCCCTCGCAAGTAACCACGAGCCGTAGTAAAGATTGAATCTTATAATCAATTGACAAACTCTTTGAAGCCTCAATCATTAGATCGGCAAGTGAACGTGAGCCACAAGGCCGTTCAGAACCGGTCCTCGGCCGAATATGATTCCCGACTCGGCACCACTCGAATGCTGTATTGCCAACTTTCTAAGTATAGCACACACCTGTACAGCTTAGACAAGCCTATTATAGGTTTTTATGAACATTATTGTTTTTATTTATAATTCCTATGTTGCCACCTTTACAATACCAATAGACTATTTTTGTATTGGAATCTTGTATATTGGTTTTTCGTTGTAATCCACATTTGAAAAACTGCTCATCACTTATCTGTCGTTATATGGAAAGAAGCAGAAATAGGCTTTTTGCTAAACTAATTGAATGTCAAATGTGGTGTCAGTTGAAAAAAAAAATGAGAATTGCTCGCCGCAACAACCCAACCTGTCAAATTCGTACTCTGTACTTTCAAATATGAAGTTCAAATACCTATGTTGATACCCATTGTTAAGAAGAAAATCAGTACTGCGTTAGAGGATTGGCGCAACACTAGATTATTGGCATAAACTTCACGTTCCTATCTGACAGCTGTCAATGTCATCAGACTTATTGGAATAGCGCGCCATTCTAGCGGGATAAGTGGCTCTGACTGTTTAAATTAATTACGTTGTTACGGTTATATTAATGTCCTTTCATTATGTATATGTCATCACTGTGCAGCAAACAATCTTATTCACACGCATGATATAAATAAAACGATGTTTAGATACAAATTTCTGTAATTACATTACAAGGCAAGATGTAACTGCGATCACAAACTCGCTGTTTGGAATCCCGTATAACATTCTCGTCAACCACCTGTGAACTGGTTTTGACATCCAAGTCCTTACGCAGTCATCGAATGCGTACCTTTTTGCGAACCGCTTGATTTGTCCAATTAAAATGATTGGAATTCTTTAATCATCCAATGTTCCCACGAACACATGCATTCATTTAGCTGTGTTTATTGAACTATTGTGGTTGTCATTAACTACATACATTTTATGAATTTAATAATTTGTCTTCAAAGTTATTATCTACTGTGTTAAAGTTTTACAAGATTTACTACATAAAGTTTTCAGAAGTGGCAATAATCCTGTCAAAAATTCTAATACAAATGAAAATTGATATTAACTACACGCTGACATCTGAAAGTAAATTATCGCACAACTATTTAGTCGCGCTTTGATTCCTATGAGCTTCTATGGAGGTGCACATACTACTTGATTTTTAGTTGTGCAACTAAACAGTTGAAATGGCTGCGAAACTATCGACAATCGTTTAGTCAGAGCTGTGCGCCCGCTCTAAAGCAACCAGTATTTAATATAGGATATCATCAAGTCTATGTAGATCTAACATTAGATGTATACAAGGCAAGTGTAATGATTGCGGAGCACGCAGCGGTTTGCGGCTGACCCAGTAGTACGGTCACCCGGTCGCCGTGTACCGTTCTGCGCATTCTACCTGTGCCGGGGTCCATCCTAATCTCGAGTCACGCACTTTAAATGACCGTATATGTTACGTTGATACACATTTCTATACCTCACAATGTAATGCGAAAATCATTGTCATTAATTTAATTTATGCGATGTTTACATGTCAATAGTTAATTCGGTATAAGGAAACAAAGGAGAAATAACTTTCAATTTGTAAACCAAGTCATAAAATAGTCTCTCTAATAATCTTAACGGCACTAATAACCCGATAACCAGCACTAAGACATAAGAAACCAGGCGCTTGACCATTATCTTAGATAAACAAATTTTGTAATAGACTTACCAATAGATCTTTAAAAAATCTTGTCTTTAGAACTAAACGTTCTCAATAAAACTATACGAACCAACGGAGAAGATAATAACAAAACTCTTTCCGAAATATTCAAATCAAAAAGCTACGTTAAATGTTCAGAACATTTAAATTCCGTGGTACAAAATGTTTCGAACTATTATAATAAACTCGATTGGATACAGTTTAGCGTGTCCGCAACGGGGCAACATCAAGCAACTGACTGCTACAAACGAGGTTGATGCTTAGATATACACTTAACTTAACTTACAACTATCTGGAACAGTAGTCATATGGAGAACGTCATAAATTATATTACAAAAGAACAAAAGACTCTCATCCCAGACAGGGATTTTGAAAATGCTAACGAAGTTAAAGCATGGTGAAATCTAAGAAATTCGACCTCTAATTTGGAATAGTGTAACACGACGAATAGTAAACTAGCAGGCAAGTCAACGTCAACGGTAAGTTCTAGATATATATAATTTTTATATGAAACATACTACAGAAGTAAATTCAAGAGGATAAAAGTATCGATCCTTCATACAGTTTCTTTTTCACCGTTTATCTCGTTATATCAAAGAAAAGTGGAACATTTGAAAGTGATACCCGCAATTAAGGTCGAATTACTGTATATTGAAAGCGCATGAAATAACAATAAGTGGTTAAGTGTTTAGGAAAACGATACATGTAATTTTAGATACATAAAGTTATTAGGAAAACAAGTGGAGTTAAAACTGCCACAGTTTATAGAATTCCCATCTACCTCACCGATAAATCAATTACTGACTGCAAAAATGTTGTTACCCTGTGATATTGAAGCCAAAACGAAATTGCAGAGAATTGTATTACAAAAACAAAAAAAAAAACACCCGACGCGAATGGTTGTGTAACAATGTTGTCTGTATCTAGGGTTGCCAATTTCAATAAACACGAACCAGAAAACTGGTGGTGAATGAAAGGAGATTCCCAAAGTTTTGTCAACCGTAGACTTCAAGAAGTCCCTCAAAAATCGACGGAAATAAAAGACATCTAGTGCTTGTTTCCTCTCTCTGATGGCACTCTGATCCGAAGAATGATGCGACATTATGAGATCGAAATGAACCATGCAAACTTTGGCCCAAATAAAAAGACGTTACAGCCCTACCTGCACCTGTATGTACATTTTTGGTAACCTGTCCTTGATATACTATCGGTGTATGTGATTAAATCAGTGTAATTGTCGACTTGTGTTACATACTGCACATTGGCGAAGTGGAGACATCGATCTGGTTACACTGTACGCAATGGAGGCCAGTTTTCGATCTCTTGTTGCATAAGTGGCTGGTGTCTTGTAATACTTTGTTGTGAACGTAATACACGTATATTAACGATTGCGATGAAAGTAGTGCAGTAAATGGCAGCTGCTGTTCCAAACTTTTTATTGAAATAATTCATGACAGCAAAATCAGATTTAACATGAATAATTAAGTACAGTGTAGCTTTCTATACTTAAGTTAGCAAATATAGTCTGCTATTTCAATTTGGTCTATCACGTAACATAACGATATAAGTAGCCGAAGTCTAACAAAAGCAGCTGTCGTGTTGCTTCCTAGCGAATCCATTGTACGGAGAAACAATACAATATGCTTGCTAAAACATTCAAGCCAATTTGGTTATTGTTACACTAACATTTAGGACAATAATCGCTTGCGATGTTTTGGGTAAATAAAAGACTGGTTTTGCACGTCTAACATTAGCCGATAACTTCTTGTTTGACATGTACATATTTACATTGGGCTGTATTGTTGCCGCCTTGACTGACGTTGAAACCTCCCTCATAATGCTATGTAACCTCTTTTTAACTTATTCAAATAATACACATTACATTTAATTTTCTACGAGAGCTACGTACTACTTTCACAATAGGAGGTTCTTGCAATATGAAAATGAGAACTAGACCACAATCTTGCATGGTAAAAGGCAGGATTTAAGCATAGCTAGAATTAAGTCTTTGTATTATATGAACAGTTTTATAAAAATTACATTGTACAATACAAATTCGCACGCTATATGCGTGGAATGCGTGTATTGTGGAAAATACATGGATTGATCCCAAAATTACACAGAATTATTAGGTATCTTTCGTAGACCTACCTTACAAGGCAGTGTTACATAGCCTTAAAATTGCA